GCTTTGCTATTTAAAGGGAAAAACGTTTCACACAGGTCGTCTTTGTATATATGCTGATATCTTAGTGTAGTGATTGGAAGGTTTTCCTACAGGTTCATGTCACAGATTGTGTGTTTCGGGGCAAACGTTGATGGCATTACTGTAAAGGCAAGCGATTCTTTCTTATTCAACGCTAACTTGAAATACTTATTTACAGTAAAAAGTGGAAAAGTGTGTTTATGTACAAGGACTGAGGTCTGTGTGTGTGCGTACAGTTTGTGTGCAATGCAGTACAGACTCAGCAGCTCTGTAAGGTTAATAACAGTTTCCCCTAGAAGGTTCCTCTTCTTCTTTCTGCTTCGCACCTCTTCCAATCAGTTGCTTTAAAACTAGGAAAAAATTCTATCATCTATTGATGCAGTCCTTCTCTGCTCTCGCCCTCACCCTCCAGTGCCTTTCACAAAATAAAATTGTGTGGTATCTCCTCTTTTTGACCCTTCATTTGGCAGACAAATGGGAAGAAATGTAAGCTTGTGCCTCTCTCCCCTGCTGTTTTGTTCTATTTTCTAATGTCAGTCTTTTTCTCCTCAAACCTTTACCCTTGTACAGATACTAAAGGTTTTTATTGATCTCCCATGAACCCCTTCTGACTTCAGCCTGATCCTTAAAGCTAAGCCTTTTCATGAAACACTGCACATTTAGTGTCCCACACACTCCAAGGTCACTGGAATTGTGTAGGGAGAAAGGCAGAGGAGTTTTTGTAGAGGCTGTTTTTAAAAAAAAAAATATATATATTAAAGGTGCCCTGCACAGTTTTCTTGTAAACAAAAAAGAAAGTTTCTACTTACGGTCAGTATTACTGAATGCTTCTGTTCTGGAAGTTTAATAAAGGTATACATCATGGATTCCAAAATCAGTGATTTTAAGCAAAGATAATTTTTTAATTTGATAAATATTTTGGATTTGTTTAATACATTTAAGAAGTATTCAGTCTCCAAATGATGTTCATGGATTACAGCAAAAATGTGGCTTCTGTTTCTCTTTTGCACACAGACACATAAGTTTGCAAAACTCGTTCTGAGGCTTCAAGTGCCTCTGTAAATGTTTTAAGGAGCTGAGGTGAAGTGACTGTGCAGGAAGGTCTTTGAAAATCAGCACTCCTTGGTCTTCTTTGGTTCTCAGGCGGTGCAGTAGGAATCTTTCTACGCAAACATGCAGAGGCCTGAAGGATCAAGCACTGCTTGGAGTTCAGTGCAGCTCTCCAGCTCTAGAGCAGCAAATACTGCCAGACTTAAATATTCCCACTACCTCCTGCTTGTCTCCTGTCATATAGTACCACATTCTGTTTACTACCACAAATCTAAAACTGAATTCATCAGCAAAAATAACTTTTTTTCCAGTCATCTACTGCGAAGTGCTGATTTGTGTTCTCTCCTGAGAAGTGGTTTAGACGCATTCCTCATCCTCTGGGACCACAGTGTTGTTTTGACAGGATTTTTACTTGTTAGAGTTTTTGTCTCTTGATTTAGCTAATTGCATATCTGCTGTAAAGTTGCTGTAGCATCTTTCAACAAAGCAGATATAGAGATTTACACTTCTGCATACAAGTGATTTCCATAAAGCATGTTAGAGTGCCGTGCACTGACTCCCGGAGGAACCATGTGTCGTGCTGTGATTTGATGCTGAGAAATCCCTTCTTTGCTGAGAACAACAGTTTGACTTCTGACATGTTGAGGGGCCCACTATCTCCATGCTGCTTAGTAAGCAATGTTTGGCTGGAAATGTGAAGACACATATTTATACCAGGTAAACAATGGCTGCTATTTGATTTATATGGAAAAGCCTCTCAGTTTTTATCCAAAAGATACTTCAGTGGACGGGATACAACTCAAGGGAATCTGACTTTTTATTTGGTTTGCTCCACTGATGAGATTACACTTTACTACTGACATAGAATCAGTGTACCAACCTTAATAGTTCCTTTTTTTATGTTTGTTTACATTGTTTCCTTTATTTCCACACCGAAAATCTGTCATATTTTCTATGGGGTTCTAGACAATTTTACTTCACACGTTTTCTTCCTCATGAAATCCCTATATCCGATTCACTAATATTTATTCATTTAAGTGGTGTTTTTAAAGATTCAGAGCTGGAAGCAAGATACAAGAAGTGTGGCCTTGTAGGTCAGCAGCAAAAGCCAGTGGGATTTGTGTGTAGCCTTTTGATTTAATGCAGAAATAAGCCATTTTTTTAAAGTTAATGATATTTACGGGTTTTCTTCAGCAAGAAAATCTCAACACACTGAAACTTTTAGGATTTTTGAAGTGCAAAGGCAGTTGGAAAAATACGAGCTACCACATGTATGGTACGTATGCACCAGTCAGGCACGACATTTAACCACCTGCCTAACATTCCCAGCAGAACATTTCCCAAAGCATCTTCCATTTTTCCATTATCCAGTTCTAATGCTCACCTGCCCATTGTTGGCACTTTAAGTGGTGGACGGGGTCAGCACGGGCACCCTGACCGGTCTGCAGCCCCATATGCAACGATTTGTGATTCACTGTAAATTCTGACACCTGTCTATCACAACTTTTCTGCAATTTGAGCTCATCTTTCTGACAGGACCATACGGGCCAGCCTTTATTCCCCTCGGTGATCTTTAGCCCCCCATGATCCTTTTGCTGGTTCATTGTTCCTTCCTTGGACTTTTGATAGATATTGACCACTGCAGGCTGGGAACACCCAACAGAGCTGCAGTCAAATCTAATACATCTGTTTGAACAACCTTGTTCTCTTGTTCCCTGATATATCCCACCAACCAACAGTATTCACTTCACCTGTCAGCGGACATAATGTTATGCCTGATTGGTGTATATGTACATGTCATTGTCACTGCCATTGAGCTTGTGTGTTTAGCTTGATCATGTTGAAAGTCCATGACAACTTCTGTAGTCTATTGTTAGAAAATGTCTTCTCTGAGACACAAAAAGCTTAGAAATTCACACTTATGTCATAATGTAAAAGAAAACATGAAGAAATGGGTTTATTTCAGGCATCTAACCAAATAACAGATGGTGGAAAAGTGTGCAAATGCTAAGTCATTGTCGGGTTTAGGATTTATGCATGAAGCACTCTGTTGTGTGTTTGTCTTTGAAGAGTCTTTCTACTCCGCTTTTCTACTCTTCCAGTCATTGTGTTGAGGTTTTACCAAATTTGGTCAGACAATGGCCCTACATCATAAACAACCCCTCTTGTTTCTGATAGTGTATCAGTTTGAAATATTCATTGGCCATTCTCTCACTCTATCTCACAACTGTCCTCAGGGGAACAAATCACTAATGATCCCTTTTTTTCAGCCCAGTTCACTGCACTGTAATACTTCTTTCAGCTCCCGTTGCTACAGTAATCCTAGTAAACAACCATACTCCATTTGTCCCAACATCACCTACACGAAACCTCAGAATCAGGCTGATGGATGTCGATGATTCTAATGAAAATTCGTCCCTACTTGGTTTATTTTGTATCCATTATGTGAGGAGTCAATTTTTAAAAATTAATATTATTATAGCATTATTCCTGATGCTGATGGTGTTCTCACAGTAGATTGTATTTTTAGAAAATTGTAGCATTTTTGAGGATGATGAATTCTTTCACTCGAGGTTATATCTCTTAATGAGTTCAACCGGTTGAGGGGTTAAGGCAAGGATGTCAAACTCGTTTTACATCGTGGGGCGCACAAAGGCTACTTTGATCTCAAGTGAAACTACTACTACCCTTGCCCCAACCGTCCCATAGTTATGAAATATAAATTTAAAATTTAAAAAATGCCCATTTTATTTAAATTATTTTGGTGTAGTATGAATAGGAATTGACGGCAGGGGGAAAGCTGTGTGACCTATGAAAATGAAAAGTCTGGGCACTTCTTCACATTTCCAAGACCTGTTCAGTGGCCAGACTAGAGCCTTTGCCTGTTCAATTCTGGCCCCCGGGCCAGGTTAAGGGTTCATAGCATTCGAAGCACTACTTGATACTGCCTATCTAACTGATACTAATTCTATGCATAAGGGCTTCCAAAATCACCAGTGTGAACGCATAACACAGTACTCACGATTATAACGATGTGAATTATTCAGTGATCATTGAACTATAGAAAATATCAGTCAAACAAGAGTGTAAGAGTTACTTTCCCCTGACACATCGGAGCATCTGCTGCTCTGACCTCAGAGAGTCTTGGCAATACCGACTCCCATCAAAAATGTATTTTATTGATCCAAACCTTGTGTCACGAAAGTATCAGTGTCAGCTTGATGGTTAGACTCCATGTGTTCTGGGACTGCAGTTGCCCCATGACGTGCACCTCTTCTTATAAAACCCTCTCACATGGGTGTTCATATGGAGCTGCGCTTTCATCCCCCCTGCAGTCCTCGGAGGGCCTGCGTGTGCTCTGGCACTGTGCGTTTTAGCAGATCGCTTTGTGCAGCAGCTCGAGTTACACGGAGCTTCGGAGTGCTCATGAGTATCTCTTTCACAGCTGTATTGTTGAACAGCTCAGTAAGCTCAGTGTGTTTGAAGGGGCTTTACACAGATTCAGTGGGAAAGCCATGAAGAAGGATTCGCTGACACACAAACACATTTGCAACAGTGTGCCTTCCCACAGTCCTACCACTGAGAGGTCCACAGTTGGAGGTGTTGTGGTACAGAATGGGGGAGCTGCATGATGCTCAAAGCATCAGTGCATCCTCCACCTCACTATCATCCTCCTCTCCGGTTTTTCAGCTGTTTTTTTTTCTTTGTAGATCTGTCTCTCGGCATCACTTTCTGCACAGTCTTCACAGAAATCTCATCTCGCTTAAACGCACCCACACGCACACAGACTCTCTCTTGTGTACATGCACACAATCACAAGCAGATATTCAAATAGGTCCAGACACACACTTACATATGCAGACACACATTATTCAGCTAATGTCTGTGTCTGTGAGAGCCTCTGGTTAATAACTGTTTGTTCTCCTTTGCAGATGCTGGCTCAGGATCAGGAGACGATGGTAAGATTACTCACCTCTTCCTCCTCCACCTCCTCTAACTCCTCACATACTGCTTTTTAATATGCTGCTCTCTACCCGCTGTGTTCCACAGCACTGTATTTATTGAGTATGAGGGGCTGACTTCAATGTATTTTAATTTCATAATATGATAAACCAATTAAAAACATGTTCTCTTAACATCATTAGCTTCACTTATTATTTTACTTATTATTTTATTCACGCTAACGTTTAATCTAATTGAATTCATGTACTAAAGCAAAACTTTATTTATAAAGCATATTTCATACCAGACAATTTGCTACACAAATGCACTAGTATCAAGACTGTAGCATGAGTAAGATAAGATAAGATAACCTTTATTAGTCCCACACGTGGGAAATTTGTTTTGTCACAGCAGGAAGTGGACAGTGCAAAAGTTATGACGCAAAAATTAGAATACAATAAGAATAAATACAGTACACAACTGTACAGAATAGAATAAAATAATATACTATATACAGTAGAATAAAATAGAATAAAAATATACAATAAGATAAAAATAGAATACGAATGCTATATACAACTGAGTAAAAATACAACGATGCCAGAAAAGATTATTGCACTTAGTGTTATTGCACATGTGTGGATGTGTGTGTTTGATCAGTTAAAGTCTTTGTTGTGGAGTCTGACAGCAGTGGGGAGGAAAGACCTGCGAAATCTCTCCGTCCCACACCGTGGGTGCCGCAGTCTCCCACTGAAGGAGCTGCTCAGTGCTGTCACAGTCTGCTGCATGGGGTGGGAGATGTTGTCCAACAGGGATGACAGCTTAGCCGCCGTTCTCCTGTCACTCACCACCTCCACTGGGTCCAGAGGGCATCCTAGAACAGAGCTGGCCCTTCGGATCACCCTGTTCAGTCTCTTCCTGTCCCCAGCAGAGATGCTGCCGCCCCAGCAGACCACACCATAAAAGATAGCAGAAGCCACCACAGAGTCATAGAAGGTCTTCAGGAGTGGGCCCTCCACCTCCAAACGACCTGAGTCTCCGCAGCAGGTACAGCCTGCTCTGCCCTTTCCTGTAGAGGGCGTCTGAGTTATGAGTCCAGTCCAGTCTTTGTTCAGATGAACACCAAGGTACCTGTAGCTGTCCACAGCCTCAATGTCCATACCTTGGATGTTCAGTGGTTGCAGTGGAGAATGCTTGTGCCTGCGGAAGTCTACCACCAGTCTCCTTGGTTTTACTGGCATTGATCTGGAGGTAGTTCAGCTGGCACCAGTCCACAAAGTCTTGAGTCAGTCCTCTGTACTCCTTGTCGTCCCCATCAGTGATGAGGCCGACTATTGCAGAGTCATCAGAGAACTTCTGCAGGAAGCACTGGGTGGAATTGTGGGAGAAGTCTGCAGTGTAGATGGTGAAGAGGAACGGAGCCAGAACCGTTCCCTGTGGGGCCCCCGTACTGCAGACGACCCTGTCCGACACACAGCCCTGAGTCCTCACATACTGTGGTCGGTCGGTGAGGTAGTCCAATCCAGGTAGTGAGGTGATGGTCCACTCCGAGTTCTCCAGCTTGTCCTTTAGAACCGAGGGAAGAATGGTGTTGAAGGCACTGGAGAAATCAAAGAACATGATTCTCACAGTGCTTCCAGCGGTCTCCAGGTGAGCGAGGGAACGATGTAGGAGGTGAATGACGGCATCATCCGCTCCAATGCCAGGCTGGTAGGCAAACTGAAGTGGGTCCAGTGATGAGCTTGTTAGGCGCCGAAGCTGAGCCAGGACCAACCGCTCCAGGGTCTTCATCAGGTGGGATGTCAGAGCCACCGGCCTGTAGCTGTTGAGGTCCTTGGGGCGTGAAGTCTTTGGCACTGGTACAACACAGGAGGTTTTCCAGAGCTGTGGGACTCTTCCCAACCTCAGGCTCAGGTTGAAGAGGTGCTCCAGTATATAGTATATACATAGATTAAATTAATAGAGAGATAAAACCAAGTGAATTAATAACATCTAAAGATGCAATAGTCAGCTGGTCTGGGATTATAAGCCAATGCACAACACACGCACAATATGCAAATACTTATACACACACACTCGCAGCCACAGGTTGTTGGCATGGAAATGCTTCGCTGCGAGTGACGACACCGTTCACCAGAGTTAACTAAAATAGACTGGAGGAACACAAATAGACAAGAAAACTAAACACCTGAATAACGCTCAGACAGGTGAACTGGACATTTTAAAGAAGCTAACAAAGGCAAAGTGGCTAGCAGGTCACTAGCAGCTCATATCTATCAAAATCCTTATGAAACTTTTGTCAGCGATGAAAACCAAACGAGAAAAAGCAACAGTAATATGTAAACATCATTAAAAGGCACAAAATTAATAAAATAGTAAAATAAAAACCAACAATACAGCAATAAAAATTATTAATAAGACCGGGGACTGAACTACTGCAAGGTCCTAACAAATGTATTGATTGATACCTGATGAGTAACCAGGTGGTGCGTTCCTGATGACCTGCAGTAACGGGCTGGTTCAAAGAGCTTGTCAGAGAGATCCTACATGTAAACATGCAGGGACTATAGTGTTTTATTAATAAACTCTTTGTTAATAATTGTTTCTTGGGAAACAATTATGGGATATTATAAATGACCATCAATTATTCAATAACTTTCAGCAAACAGGGTCACTTCTGCTGATAAACTTAAAGGATTAAGTGCTAATTTTGAGCTGCCTCTAGCTTTGTGTAGTGTTTTAGGCTCTTTTAGCTCATTGTTTTGGATTGATGGCTTTGATTTGCACTCAACCTACTCATCCCAGGTTATTTATTTATTTAATGCAACAAGTGGACAAAAGAAGTGAGCATGGAGTCATTTTATTTATTTTTATTTTTAACATGCAGAGTAAACTTTTACTGGTAATGCATTGTAATCAAATAGCCATTCATGTATGGGAAACTGTGAGTTTACATAACGTGATGGGTGCTAACAAACACAGATAAAGATGAAGGAAGTGATGTTGCCAGCATGTGTTTTATCTTTTGTCCTTTTGTCAAAACTAGACTTTGGTGAACAGGCTGTTCTCACAGCTGCAGTAAAAGATCATGTGACTGCAGCAGAAAATACATTTAAAACACAGAACAATTGGAATTGTAACAGATTTTCAGTCACAACTGATTTTTTTCAAGTCTCAGCCAGATAAAGATTTGCATAATGTCCTAAAAAACTGGGAATTATTTGAAAAATTGAAAGTGTTTTTTTTAAGCAAAAGCCCAGAAATTACACAATTCACCTTTCTAATCTCACGCTGATTCATTTGACTACTTTTTTGTGCAAATTCGACATTGAAAGCCAAGATTTGCAGAGACGGCATGCTGGAGAAAGTCCTCATTTAGCTTTGTGTGCCCGTCTTCACAAAGCCGAGTGAAAGGGCGGAATGGTGGCCTGGGCAGCATTGCAGCTGATAAACAGTGGAGCTTGGGGAGAGAGTGACAAGTGTGTGAGAGTTGATTGCAATAAGATTGAGATGAGCTTATAGCCATGAGTGACTTTTTTATGAATAACTTTTGTGTAACTAATCACATAAACCCCCACCGTATTAATAACGTGTCTTTGAGCTAAGTCTCTAATTTGTTGCTTAATTGACTAACAAGATTCAACTCTAACATCAGCACAGACAGTAGTCAGGCTCGTCTGTCAAAACACGTTTGTACCCATGCATATATTTACACTCCCCACTCTGCAGCCTCTCTATCCTCCCGTGTGTTTGCCCATGCAGTTACTTCATTAACTCCGATGCATGGAGCTTTCCCAAGCATATATGAGAGGGAGAGAGAGATTGAAAAAGAGATTAGTGCCCCCCAAAAAGACGGCAGATAGACAGATGAACAAGCGGAAATGAAACTGCTGCTAGGTCAACCAGAGAGAGAAAGCGAGAGAGGGAAAGACAGATAGAGAGGAAAGATGGGGGTGGACAAAGAAATGGCCTGGGGAAAGTCGCAAAATAGATAACAGAGCAGAGGAAACAGACGGCGAGTGGTGTAGAGATTGAGGGAGAGGAGGACAGATAGCCCTAAGAAGCAGGAGGAAGGAGGAGCAAAATGAAACATACATTTTTATGCATGTCCCGTGAACACAATGTGCACTTGCATGGGATTAAAGGGAAAAATGGCACGGCCAGTACCATCGTGATTTGTTTGTAATGCCATGCATGCTCGGTCTATCTCTAAGCTCCGTTGTATAGACGATCACACTTCCTCGGGCTGTTTTTCGGCATTTCATTGCAAGACACCACCATAAAATCTGCAGTGAAAGAAAGCAGTCAGAGGGTTTCTTTTCCCTTAATGCTCTCGGTGCCTTACAAGAACCAAAATAGCACAGAAGAGAATTCAATAACAAAACCGAGAATTTTTAGTCCTATAACGCTAAGAACTCTGAATCTGAAAAGCTGCACTTCAGTGGAAATTGGAAGGAATAGCTTATGTTAGTTTGCTCTAATTTACAGAACTATTATTCCACCCAAACCCAGCGCTTGTTTACAGTAGTACATATATTATTTCTAGCCATAAAAGTCAGGTTAAAGGTGGCAAATGTTTTAGTTCGCACGCCATTTACAGACCAATTTGATCAAGCTGGTTGGAACAGTAAACCACTGCATAATAATCCATAACGAAAAGTGTTTGGGTGCAAATTAGCACTTTCTGAAAACATTCACCTTTAATGAACCGTTTAATTACAAAAAAGACTAACAGCATGAGATGTCTCAAGAAAAAAAAGTGCAGTTTCAACAGTATGTTTTAGTTTTCCCAGCCAGCCTGCTGTCATTACCAAGACTCTTTGTAAAGAGAGTGGCTCTTTGGCTTCAGCACCTTATTGCTGCGCGGTATGGCAGGAATGGCTAATGTCTTTTTCAGTAAGAGGCTCTAACCTGACAGCAATTCAGAACTCTGGCTCAGGTTAAATTTACAGTTGAGGCAACCACTCAGATCCACTAATGCATTCTTACACAACACAAAGCTTCCTGGTGCAAAACA